CTTATTGGCTGGCGAAGCGCGGGCCTGTGACCACATCTTGCCGAGGGTGGGGAGAAGGCCCAGCACCCTGTCACCCCCTTGCGGCTTCGGGGCGACAGCGCCGAGAGTGGCGCGCATCTGTTCTGGCCAGGCCCCTGCCTCTTCACAGCGGTGGAGCAGTTGGAGGCAAGCCTGCCTGCCTGCTCGAGGGGGTCTGGCCGCATCATCCACCGTGAAGTTGTCAATGCTCGTGGCCCTCTTGGCAGACATACGGGCGATCGCGCCGTCGAAATCCTCCGTGGAGATGGGGGGGGGGTCCTGGAGCTGAGCCTGAAGCCGGGCTCCAGAGAGGGCGCTCTGGATGTCCGCTACGGTGTCGACTGTGTCTCTCCATATCTCTCGCCAGTAGTCGGCTCTGGCGGTCATGATGGAGTCTGGGTCGCCTGTGCCCTGCAACTCTAGGACCTCCTGGCTGGGTCCTTGACGTGCCTATGGGGCGCACCAGGGCTATCTTTCCAACGAGTCTTCACCCATCTGGTAAATTGCAACTTGCTCTTGCCCAGGGCCCCGGCCTGGGCTCTCCGCACAAACGTCGCCGTGGGTGCCTGGAGCCTGGAGAATGACGTGCAGCGATGGTGACCGTGAGCTTCCAGCCTGTCCGCGTCGGTCCTAGGACCAGCAGGTGGGGGGGGGGGGGCTCCTCCGCGACTGCCGCAGTCTGCTCGTCCCTGGGCGGGTCTAGCTGCGCCCGCCCTCCCTGGTCGAGATCCTCGAAGGGGCCCCACTCATCATCGTCCATGCCACCACCGTGTCTCTGCGCCGCTGAAGCCAAAGTCGACGTGGCAATCGGAGCACGTGTGGCGCGGTTCTGCTGCGCCTCCTGCGATTCCCCCCTGGGCAAGTCTGCCCCGTGGGGTCCAGCGCACGGTGAGCGTGGCGCCACTGCCGCTCTTCCGAACACTGGTCCTGCGGGGTGCTGCAAGCCCAGGGGGGTCTCCACGTCCTCAGGCGCAGTGAAACTCGCGCCCGAAATCAGTGAAGTCGAGGGCTCAATTGGAGAAGAGCGCGAACGCGAAGTCAACTGCGAAGGCGAAATTGACCTCGGAGTGGTTACTATCTGGCTCGACAAAGAGGTGCGCGTCAAGCCTGTTGAACCAACGTCCGATGCAGCGCCGCCAACCACGGGAGCGGCTTGAACCAAGTCATGATTGAGCCCAAATGGGATGTCGGTGTACGGATGGCACTGGAAATGCGGAATACGCGATATCAACCTGCGAATGCCTTCATCCAAGTCCGACTCCCCTTCTTGCCGCTGAGACCCTATGACCTTCGGGCTCCAATCATCGCTCACCCAAGCTGAGGTGTCGGGTGACAGCGTGCCTGCAAGAAAGTCATCCACGAGCCTGCTCCACTCCATGCGGTCACTGAGCGAGTTCTTACCAAAATACTGGGTGCCGTCCTGTCCCAAGATGAGCGGGGTGGTGCGCCTGCAGTCGGCAAGGATGCAAGGGAGCTGGGCAGGGCCAGAGCCCTTGCTGGCAAGGATGCGGTAGCGGTCCAGAAGCGCCCCAAGCGTGGCCCAACGCTCGGCGGGGTCGTCACGCAGGTGGGCCCTTCCAGGGGTCGGCTTTGACCGCTCACGCCCCATAGAGAAACCCTTACGACGGCCTCTGGACAAAGGATCAGGGTGAGTCTCCAAGCCCAAGAGAGTCTCCTCCATAGCCGTGACCCAAAGACTGCATTCATAGTTGAGTTGCTGCTGGCCCTTCGGGTCCTCGAGAAGGTACGGGGAGTCCTGCGCGGGGCTGCGCTCAGGTCTCCCCAGACACATATACCTTTTGCCAGCTCCCAAGCAGCGACCCAAGAGTCGTCGGGGGCGTAGAAGGGGACCTTGGGGGGCTCCTGGTCGGGCTCCATGTCGGGACCAGCTGGTTCCTGAGGGTCGTCTCGCGTGCAGGCGCGTCTCGCTCTGGATATCTTACTGCCGGGGTCGGGAGCCAACCTGGGTCTGCGTACGACTGGTAACGCCCGAGGAAGCAACAGCGCTGTGTGCCACCAACCATCCGAATTCTGCCTGACATCGATGTGCAACCCACAATGAGGAGACCAAGGGACAGCAAAAACATGATGAATGGAGTAAGGATGCGCAGTGCCCTTCTTGACTACAGCATAATCGTACATTATTCCCTGCCCCTGTGAGCACGTAGCGCGGGCGCCTGTGGGGAGGACGATCTCACCTCCCAGCTTCTCAAGCCAATCCGACTGTGGCAACGCAGCGGGCTCCAGGTTCCAAGCTCCAACAACGATCCAGGCGTCCTGGATCGCGAACAAGAGGGGCGCCAGGGCCGTAAGTGCGCCCTGATTTTTGTGCCGAAGACCAATGGAAGGTAAGAGGTACAACGACAAAATGAGCTAATTACCTGGCCTCAAATGCCATATGAGAGGAGCGAAACCGCGGCAGGGGTCCTGACGCCCCGAGGCCTGCACATCCTTTCGCATATGGTCCATTGTGGTCGCCGCGATACGTTTGCGGGCAATGGCCATCTCACCTCCCGAGAAACCGCTGCACTTTCTGAAGGCAGGGGCCACCGAGGCCTTCCACGAGTCTTTCTGCAGCTGAATGCGCATGTCCTGCGTCGCTGCAGGGCCGACGTGGGTCTCCACCAAGGCCATGATGCTGTAGCAGTCGCGCTTCTCATGCACATGCTTCGCCGCCTGGGGGCCCCAGGCGGTGATGTTAGCGAAGAAGAAAGTGGCTGGGCTACCCCCGCTCGTTGCCTGCGCTTGGCATGGTACCAGGGGCCTTGGCAGGAGGAGGCTCAGGGCGATCGGAAATCCTGCGAGCCACCCCCTTGGCCGCCGCTGCCACGCTGGAGGAGGAGGCCGCGCTCTCGGCATTGACCGCGGAAGGGCTGCCTCAGCCGCCTGCTCGGCGGCGGCCTTCTGCTGCTCCGGGGTGGGCTTGGGCGGAGGCCTTGGCCTTGGCCTCGGCGGGCGCGGGGTCGGCAGCGACGCCCTCCCCCGCAGGGTTCTTGCGCTTCTTGCTGGCTGGGGCCTCCACCGTGGCCCGCGCCGTCTGCAGGAGCTCCTGGAGGTGACGCTGGCCTTCCTCCATCTCCCGCTGGTGGCTCTCGAGCTCCTCATTCCAAGTGAGAAGGGAGTTCTTGGCCTCATCCTCGCACTGGTCGAGGTCGTCGAAGAGGCCTGCGTCGAACGCGAAGACCACCCTCCGACCGTCCTGCGCGGCGCCAGGGCCGGCGCCCTGGACGGTGGTGGCCTCGTACGCGCGGACGGCCTCCACGAGCTCGGCCTCCGCCTCAACGTCAATGCTGGCCTGCTCGAGCTGGTCCTTCTTGCACTGCTCAAGGTACTCCTGGGCGGACCTGAGGCGGACGGACAGCGATTGGATCTTGGCCTTCTCCTGGCTGGCGACCCTGATCGCCTTGGCCATCCGCAAGTGGACAGCCTTGGCCATCCGCAAGTGGACAGCCTCGGGATTGGCCTGGGCGGCCAGCTGTTGGGCCTTGGCGCGGTCCTCGATCTCCTTAGCAAGCGCCAGTCCATGCTCCGAATCATGCAGCTCCACTTGGGGGTGGCGGAAGCGGGGGGGGGGGGCAACCAAACCGCCGCTGAGACAGCAAAACGCCGCTCAAAACAAACACAACCAAACGCACTTTATTGTGCAACGATTCGCAACAACAATGGAATCTCCCATCGGGAAGGGCTGCTTGAAACAAGTTATGACTGAGCCCAAATGGGATGTCGGTGCACGGATGGCACTGGAAATGCGGAGCACGCGATATCAACCTGCGAATGCCTTGATCCAAGTCCGACTCCCCTTCTTGCCGCTGAGACCCTATGACCTTCGGGCTCCAATCATCGCTCACCCAAGCTGTGTCGGGTGACAGCGTGCCTGCAAGAAAGTCATCCACGAGTCTGCTCCACTCCATGCGGTCACTGAGCGAGTTCTTACCAAAATACTGGGCGCCGTCCTGTCCCAAGATGAGCGGGATGGTGCGCCTGCAGTCGGCAAGGATGCAAGGGAGCTGGGCAGGGCCAGAGCCCTTGCTGGTAAGGGTGCAGTAGCGGTCCAGAAGCGCCCCAAGCTTGGCCCAACGCTTGGCGGGGTCGTCACGCAGGTGGGCCCTTCCAGGGGTCGGCTTTGACCGCTTACGTCCCATAGAGAAACCCTTACGACGGCCTCTGGACAAAGGATCAGGGTGAGTCTCCAAGCCCAAGAGAGTCTCCTCCATAGCCGTGACCCAAAGACTGCATTCATAGTTGGGTTGCTGCTGGCCCTTCGGGTCCTCGAGAAGGTACGGGGAGTCCTGCGCGGGGCTGCACCTCAGGTCTCCCCAGACACAAATACCTTTTGCCAGCTCCCAAGCAGCGACCCAAGAGTCGTCGGGGGCGTAGAAGGGGACCTTGGGGGGCTCCTGGTCGGGCTCCATGTCGGGACCAGCTGGTTCCTGAGGGTCGTCTCGCGTGCAGGCGCGTCTCGCTCTGGATATCTTACTGCCGGGGTCGGGAGCCAACTTGGGTCTGCGTACGACTGGTAACGACCGAGGAAGCAACAGCGCTGCGTGCCACCAATCATCCGAAGTCTGCCTGACATCGATGTGCAACCCACAATGAGGAGACCAAGGGGCAGCAAAAACAGGATGAATGGAGTAAGGATGCGCAGTGCCCTTCTTGACTACAGCATAATCGTACATTATTCCCTGCCCCTGTGAGCACGTAGCGCGGGCGCCTGTGGGGAGGGCGATCTCACCTCCCAGCTTCTCAAGCCAATCCGACTGTGGCAACACAGCGGGCTCCAGGTTCCAAGCTCCAACAACGATCCAGGCGTCCTGGATCGCGAACAAGAGGGACGCCAGGGCCGTAAGTGTGTCATGATTTTTGTGCCGAAGACCAATGGAAGGTAAGAGGTACAACGACAAAATGAGCTAATTACCTGGCCTCAAATGCCATATGAGAGGAGCGAAACCGCGGCAGGGGTCCTGACGCCCCGAGGCCTGTACATCCTTTCGCATCTGGTCCATTGTGGTCGCCGCGATATGTTTGCGGGCAATGACCATCTCACCTCCCGAGAAACCGCTGTACTTTCTGAAGGCAGGGGTCACCGAGGCCTTCCACGAGTCTTTCTGCAGCTGAATGCGCATGTCCTGCGTCGCTGCAGGGCCGATGTGGGTCTCCACCAAGGCCACGATGCTGTAGCAGTCGCGCTTCTCATGCACATACTTCGTCGCCTGGGGGCCCCAGGCGGTGATGTTAGCGAAGAAGAAAGTGGCTGGGCTACCCCCGCTCGTTGCCTGCGCTTGGCATGGTACCAGGGGCCTTGGCAGGAGGAGGCTTAGGGCGATCAGAAGTCCTGCGAGCCACCCCCTTGGCCGCCGCTGCCACGGTGGAGGAGGAGGCCGCGCTCTCGGCATTGACCGCGGCGAGGGCTGCTTCAGCCGCCTGCTCGGCGGCAGCCTTCTGCTGCTCCGGGGTGGGCTTGGCAGTGCCCTTGGGCGCCTGGGCCGCGGAGGCCTTGGCCTTGGCCTCGGCGGGCGTGGGGTCGGCAGCGACACCCTCCCCCGCAGGGTTCTTGCGCTTCTTGCTGGCTGGGGCCTCCACCGTGGCCCGCACCGTCTGCAGGAGCTCCTGGAGGCGACGCTGGCCTTCCTCCATCTCCCGCTGGTGGCGCTCGAGCTCTTCTTTCCAAGTGAGAAGGGAGTTCTTGGCCTCATCCTCGCACTGGTCGAGGTCGTCGAAGAGGCCTGCGTCGAACGCGAAGACCACCCTCCGACCGTCCTGCGTGGTGCCAGGGCCGGCGCCCTGGATGGTGGTGGCCTCGTACGCGCGGACGGCCTCCACGCGCTCGGCCTCCGCTTCAACGTTAATGCTGGCCTGCTCGAGCTGGTCCTTCTTGCACTGCTCAAGGTACTCCTGGGCGGACCTGAGGCGGACGGACAGCGATTGGAGCTTGGCCTTCTCCTGGTTGGCGACCCTGATCGCCTTGGCCATCCGCAAGTGGACAGCCTCGGGATTGGCCTGGGCGGCCAGCTTTTGGGCCTTGGTGCGGTCCTCGATCTCCTTAGCAAGCGCCAGTCCATGCTCCGAAGCACGCAGATCTGCTGGGAGCTGGTCGAGGATCGCCAGGAACTGGTCGGGCTTGCCGTGATGAGGCTTGTCGGCCCAGGGGGCCCTGCGTGGCGGCTTCTTGTTGTTGTGGTCAGGCTTCTTCTAGATGTCGATGGGGACTGCTGCAGTGGTGGCAAACGTAGCCGTTCTGCACGATGCGCCAGTTGTACGACCACTGGTTGCACGCCGCGCAGGTGTTCCACGCCTTGCCATAGCGTCCCATCGAGCGCGGGGAGGCGTGAAGCAGGAACTGATGGTGGGTGCCCAACTCCCACGGGAAAGGCGAAAATGGTCGTCGTCAAGCCGCGGACTAGCGGTATCCGTTTGGCCCCCTGGGGAACCTGGCATCTTGAGCCGAAATGGCTACGGAGGGCCCTCTTTTCGGAGCGCCCCACACGTGAGGGGGAGGAGGAGGAGGAGGAGGAGGAGGAGGAGGAGGAGGAGGAGGAGGAGGAGGAGGAGGAGGAGGAG